TTTATACTTAAACCAGTCTACAGAAACGCAGACTGGCTCTGATACCAAACTGTAACGCCCCACTTTTATTTACCGAAAATCAGAATAAATTTTTCGAATTTATTTCAAAAAACAATGTTTGAGGCTCTACTCATTTTCAAATCAATAATCAATACTCGACATTTTCTCAATATTCGGCAATTATCGATACTCATAATCAATAAGAAATCCCAATAATCAATCAATAATCCAATAATGCTCCTAGGGAAATAATCCCTATCAATAATCCAATACTAGAAAAACAATAGTCAATAATAATGCAATAATATCCAAGTTCCATTCAAAGCGGAAGCATTTATTCAAATTAAAGACCACCACTCGCATCCCCTCCGCCGTGCCGCTCTATCTAACCTGCATCCATAAATAGCAGGTGGGGATGAGCACAAAGGAAACAGTAGTGCTCACCGCTATGCCATAAATGTTAATGTCAATAATCAACAGTAATCAGTAATCAAAAGGTATTGTCTCAGCATGTATACGAAGCAATAATCTATCCCATTCTCCCATCAATAATACAATAATCAGACTCATGTGCACACCTACGCATAGACTACTGCTGACTATATATCGAATGCCCTCCGGTCCTACATCGAGTGCCAGCCAGTAGGAGTAAACCACCCCACTGGCCAAGGTCTTGCCTTGGACTTACCAATGAGGATCACCGACCGAGGGACCTAAGCCCTGGTCTTACGGCTTCTCAAAGGAGACTACCCGAAGGTACGTTCTATAGCTACGGGGACAACCGTCCGGTGGCCGATACAGCTCCACCGAAGGCTACATGATTCACATGCATACTTTGATCATACCACAATTAAAACAGTAATAACATTTAAGGCATAGTAAATTTTACAATTACAACCCACCTGGAAATTTCGGTAGAAAATGGCACACAAAAGCAAGCACGTAGGATGAGGCTCGACTTCTCAAACACCTACATTTAAGCGAGATAATTTATCAATAGTTTATCTCACTACTAGAGTTTAACATAAAACCCATACTTAATAAATATTAAGATTTACGGGTTTTAATCGGATTTTTCGTGGACTTGGAACTCTCTAATTTTTGCAAAATAGGACACAGAAAATTAATTTGGAGCCTCGGGACTTTAAAATAATTTTCTTAAATTTTTAGTACTTTGAAAATAATTTTTAAAATCGAAATCGATATTAAAACGAGTTTCCGGAACTCAAAATAGGCTTAAAAGTCAACTTTGGGTGCCAATTAAAATTTATGGGCTGCATTAAAAAAATTGGGCCTAAACATAGGTTTGGGCCAACGCTCATATGGGTTGAGCACACGCGGGCTGAAGGAAGGTCGGACGCGGGCTCGCGGGCTGAAGAGACAGAGGGAAAGGTCGGGCCGAACGCGGGCCAAGTACGTGCTGGACAGCCCGCGCTGCTGGGCTGGGAGAAATTAAAAAAAAAAAAATAGATATGCAGAGGCAAGGTTCGAACCCTTGACCTCGTGCGAAATGATAGACACAGTGACCGCTGCGCCACACTCCTAATTTGTAAATTAAAATGTAATCTCAGAATACTTAAACTAAAATTAAAACCTGGGATCTGCACAAAAAAAAAAAACAGAGACAGAAACTTTCGAACAGGGATGCAACACAAGCTCCTAATGGTCGAATTTCAACAGAAATTTCACAGAGGGGTTCGAACATTTGCAACACTAGCAAACATACATTTTCCCAGAGTTCCCGGAATGTTTATAAAACGAGTTTTTGAATAAAAATCGAACCGACAATAATATGGCTTGAAAAACAATAAACGACACAACTACGTCGACAAGGTTCGAAACAATAAAACGAGACTCTGAGCTTATACAAATTTGTCACAGCAACGTAACGGTATTCACGTTTATAAAATCGAGAGTTCCAATCTTTCCCCAAAATCCACGAATATACGAAATATATATATACGAATATACAAATTGATAAATAAACCAAATTCGAAAACTAACAAAACGATTTAATGAACAAAAATACACCAACGATATAATCCCGAGACACAATTAACGAGAGAGTTTCGGGAGGTTACCCGTCTTTGGGAATCTACGAGAAATTGGAAAGACGGGTCGGAACTAGATGGGACGAACGGAGTCTCGACGGGACTCGAAACTCTTCGGAAGCTCGAACTGAACGTCGATGAGTGGCTCGCTAACTGAAGGACGAACTAGTTGCTGCGGGATTCTCGCCTCGACGGCGCCGGCGGCTCGAGCTCCTCGGCTATGGCAGACACGTTGTCTGCAATCGGGAAGGATGCCGGTTGGTTATGACGAGTCTGTTTTGGCAAGAAGGGCTCACAGTCAGAACTATTCGGAAGTGCGATTGCTGGAGATTGAAAGGTCGGAACTCATCACATTGCCGGGAAATATAAGTACAGAAATCTTTTTTTTTTTTTTT